TCTCTACACCTGTGTTTCTCAACCTCAGCCGCTTCAAGTTGTGTGGAACAACTCCTAGAATTCCTCAGCCACATCTACAAGTTCACACATGTTAAAGTTGCTGAGGTTGAGAAACACTGGTTTACACACCATTGGAGAGTTTACTATTTGCTTTTGGGTTATGCTACTTAGCTTGCCATCCTTCTGTGTATAACAGTCTACTTCACCTTCAATTGTATGTGTAGTATGATGGGATTATTTACTGTAAATGAGCATTGTTTAGGTAGAATACTGAGATGTAGTTAAAATTAACCATAACATACCTGAGATGGGTTGTGTGGTTTGTTCCTGTTTTTTTTTTTAAAAAATTCTGCTTAAGAGATGAATGGTACTGCATTGGTAGTATTCAAACAATCCTTCAGTTATTGAGGGTTCCCTAATGAAATGGCTTTTTTAATTTATCTTAAGAGAAAGGCTGGCACACTCTTTATGAATAAATTTGGTTTCTCTAAGTTTAGTAATAGGTTTCAACATGCAGTTTTAAAACACTAAAGATTTCTTACATGTAGTTTCAAGTGTCTTTGTAGTTCAGCTAAGCCTACCATTAAAAAATTGCAGGTACTTAAGATATAAAATGCTACCTCCAAGGGATCAAAGGAAAAATACTTTAATTTCCTTCATCTGGCCATGTGATGATTTGCATTGTACCAGTGTACTGGTAGATTTCTTAGATGTTTTTTTCTCCTCCGCCCTTAATAGTACAGCTGTATATATAATTTTGTTGCTGTTAGAGCAAAATCAAAGAAATCACAATGTTTCATTTTCAACAGATTAATATTATATAGTAATCATATAATGAGTTAAATAAAATAACCACAGGAGTAATTGCTAATATCATTCTTCATATTTTCTGATTTTGGTCTAAATGGAGTTAATACGTATACGTGTGTCTTAATTTCTTATTGAGACATATATTAGTTTCACACTTCAGTTTAGTAACGTATTAATCATAGTATTTGGCAAAATGTAAACTTTAACAGATTTGCATAAACTACTTTAGATATTGATTGTAAACTATAGAAAAATAGAGGAAACTTAATCCCGTTATCATGTGATCCTCACATAATCCTAGACATGTTGATTGAAAAGTATTTTGTTTCAAACCCTGCAATGCAATTAAGATGCGTTTTCAGAGATTTTATGAACGTGCATCATGCTTCTTGCCTCACTTTTAGGAAATGCGGCTGAAAGTTGTATACCCATTGTGGTTCTCTTTGTGTTGTCATTGCCTTTTTCCAAGAGTGATGATTGACAACAGCCTTCTCAGAGTGGTATCCTTTTAATGTGTTATTGGCTGCGAGTTTGGAGAGAGTTCTGTACCTAGAATGGGAAAATAACCCTATCAGCTATGAAATCAACACTAATCAGCTGTACATCTTGTGAATATATTATTTATATATGCAAATATATACAGTACATACAAACAAGCAAAATAAAATAAGGGTATAGGAATAGATTCTGGAATTCTGCCATAAATTTGTCATCTGACTTACAAAATGTCAGTTGATTCATGGTGTGAATTTCGGTTAATTTATTGGTGAAAACATATACTATAAAATAGTATGGAGAAAGAAAGCATTTTTCATTTCTTTTTAGGTATTATATGAATTTACTACACCAAGCATTGTTTAGGAGAAATATTGCTGACTAAGAAGCACTCTTCTGTCTTTAAAATAGAGTCTGCAGTTAATTTTTACATACATTATAATGTATTTTTTTTACTTATTGTATATACTTGAGGCTAAGCCAAGAATTTTAGGTGCCAAAATACATCCCCCAAAATGGTTTTGGCATATCCACAGATAAGCTTACTTGCTAGTACATATGATATTTTTAAAGGTACCCATATTATATCCCCTACGTACTTGTGGATAAACACATCGATGGATAAGAGACCCTCCAATTTTTAACCAAACTACCATGAAAAATTGTACCAATTTTTCTGTGGGCAGTTCATTTTTCATGATATTTTTATTAAAAACTCAAGGGTTGGTTTATTGATTATGTATTGATTAGATATTATTTAGGTATACAAGTAGTCCTCGACTTACAACAGTTCATTTAGTGATTGTTCAAAGTTACAATGGCATTGAAAAAAGTGACTTATGGCCACTGCAGCATATCCAAGGTCAGTGATCAAAATTCACACCCTTGGCAATGATTCATATTTATGATGGTTGCAGTTTCTCAGAATTATGTGATCACCTTTTGCGACAAGCAAAGTGCATGGAGAAACCCGATTCGTTTAACAACTGAGTCTTAACAACTGAAGTTATTCATTTAACAACTATGGCAAGAAAGCTCATAAAATGGGGCAAAATTCAGTTAAGAAATGTATGGCTTGCAACAGAAATTTTGGACTCAATTGTCATAAATCAAGGACTACCTATAGATAGTCTACAACTTACATTCATTTATTCAGAAATCATTTCAAAAGCACTGGAAAAAAATGGACATATGACCAATCTTCAAAGTTCTGACCATTGTGGCACCTCTATGGTTGGGTGTGTAGGTTGTGATAATGACATTTCAGGGAGCCATGGTCACCATTTGCAACCTTTTCTGCAATCTTCTCACGACCAAAGTCAATGGGGAAGCCAGCAGGAAAGGTTGCAAGTTGCTTTGGTAAATCCCACCACTTTATCATCTGCCATGGCTGCATATGACCTACACTGGCCTTCCCAGAGCCTCCTTGACTTGCACGTGGCCTGCACCAGCCTTCTCAATGCCTGCCCACCGTCCTGGCAGCAGCACCCCTGTGGTCTTTTGCCTGGGACTCCCAACTCTTCCCACATTTTGGGCTCCCAACAGCAACCAGAACTGCCAGGATTGTTGTGAGTAAGCAATGTGGTCACATGGCATTGTGCTTTACAATTGCGTTGCTGAGCAGTGATAATCCTGGTTCCAATTGGAGCGACTACCTGTTTATATCAGGGCAAGTCATATGTCAGCTATCCTGGTCTTGGTTGCTTAGAACCATATATACCGTAAGCAGGACACCTTGTTCAATAGCTAATAGAAAGCCACTATAATGCTTTCAATGTAATTTGTGCATAGCCTAGCACTCCCACTTAACAACCTCCATACACATTTCAGCAATTTTCAGACCAAAAATAATATACATTTCATTGGATGAGTCAAGCCAACTATCTGAGAATTTTTAACTTGAATTCCTCCTTTATATCAGAAGATTAGATTTGATGGTCTAAGAACCCAATCCAGTGTCATGATTTTATGAATTGTATGAATCTGTGACTATTCATCATGGTTCAACATTCTATATCTCTCAAGAGACCATGGCAGTTCATTTTCCTGATTCCTGATCTTGCAGGGAAGAATTCATTGCACTCTATAGACTGCTCCTTTCCTCCCATTTTCATGATATAAAACAAAAATTCCACCAGATGACAATTATAATGTGTTAACTTTAAATTTCCCCTCCCCGTTACCATGATCAAAGACAAAATTGTTTTTAGTTTGCTTGAGGTTTATTTAAACCTTTGTTTCTTTTTTATTATATTTAGGTGTTATTTCAATCTTTGGCAAGATAATACCCTGTTCTTTGTGTTTGATCCAGTGACCTCTGAAGATACAGGAACTGTGAAATCCCTATCAGGCATTGCTGGGAGCTTCCCATAATGCCCTGCTAGAGTTTAGATCAGCCAGGTTCTCATTTTGGAGTTGTTCTTGTCGGGCTGTTTATATAAAGCATAGACTTGCATTGCATTTGGATCCAGGGAGTGTGCACAAATGCTTTGGTGGTACTTCAGGAAGATGGACACCTAATTGGACAACGTGACCTGTGACAAGGAGGGAGGGAGCTGTTTATCTTTAATTGTACTGAAAGCATGAGAAATAGCCAGAGCTGGTTTTAAGATCATCTGTGCCAGGAAACTGACAGTCTCGGAGTGCTGACTCATTTGGGTTTTGTCAGTCGGAACCTTGACAGTAAACCAGCTCTGGCTATTTCCCATGCTTCCAGTACAATTAAAGATTAGACAGCTCCCTCCCTCCTTGTCACAGGTCACGTTGTCCAATTAGGTGTTCTGGCGTCTCCTTGGAATCCTCTACTCGTCTCTGACCAGCACCTGTTGGGATTACCTTGGTTCCCACAAGATAGGAAGTTGCTGATGTCTGGTTTGACATTCTAAAGCTGCCTCCTCCCCCACCCCCAAAGTGTGTCAAGCTGAGAAACGGATGAAAATTGGCTATGATGGGGCCAATCTGTTTTGAAATAGACAACTTTAAAAAAAGACTTACGACTGTTTTTCACGCAATAGTTAAGTGTTAAGCATAACACTTAACAACCATGTTACTAACTTTATTTCAGTGATTCACTTAACAATTGTTGCAAGATATGTTGTAAAATGGGTCAACTGTCTTGCTTAGCAATCAAAATTTTTGACTCAATTGTGGTTTTAAATCGAGGACTACCTGTAAAAGAAAATGGGAAGGGGAACTATTTTAGACCAAAAAGTAAGGCAATGGAAGATATAGGGCCAAACTGGGAATATAAAGCCACGAAGAAAGTAAGTCCTTTTTTTTTTTCTAGTGGCAAATGCAAGAAGCTTGACCCAGACTGAGGCTATAGGGGAGACAAAAGGTTACCTGCCAATGTAGACCATCTATTTTCCACCTCAAACCCTGTCCTGATTCAGATCAGAGGACTCCATTTACCCAATTACAAATTCACTTTTTGTATGCTAGAAAATAAAAAAGCAAAGAGAGACAGTGGAGAAACACAATGAAGAGTTTAGAAAGAAATGAAAAGGATGCTGTATTCTGTTTCCCCACAAATAGGAAACTACTGTTTAAAAGATAGAAGTTTCGCATACCATGTTTGAAGGTGCCATATATACAAAAATGAGAAATGAATTGCTGACTAAGCTTATTAGACATGGAGCTGATTGTTCAAGTATTGAGGAGAGATAATCAGTTGAATGCTTGTTCATTCTTTTCAGATTACTCAGGGCGAACTCCAGAAGTCATGCGCTAAGCCTCTAGTAGAGAAAGCTACAGATAATTGCCAGCATATCTGCCAATGTAGACCACCTCCATTACCGCCGCCGCCACCGCCGCCACCACCACCAAGGTTGCTTGGGGTTTCATGTAAGTAGAGGTTACCACTGTTTCTCTTTATATTCAGAAAAGCCTAGGAGCACCAGAAAGATTATTAAATCACTGATTGGGAAGAAGGCAATATTTATTTCATGGGTAGGTAGTAATATTTTTCTGATGAAGAATGGCAAAATAGACAAATGTTGATTGTTTAAGGTTGTTTCCTTAAAAGTTAACATGCAAATCCTTGAATAATGCCACATGGCAAGAATGCTATGCAATGAGGATGCCATGATCTAGTATGTAAATAAGTTTATAATTTCCCCAATTTATGTTCAGTCAAATTTAATGTTACACATAGCCTTGTGTGTGAATGCATCTGCATCCACCTCCTGAAGGAAATAGATTATCTAAACCCTTTCAAGTCAAATTTCAGCCCTGGGTGACTTGTATTTATATCATCAGTATGTAAATGATGCCTAGTTATATATCATGATATATCACAAGCCTTAAAGTGGCCAAGATTGGAGAACCCTGGTATATAGTACAGCTTCTCAAATAGTGATGGAAATATCAAAGTTCCCTTATATAATCTTTCTACTTTAAGAGCTCCACTTGATATTAATTGAATGTGATTGAAAATGCTAGTTCTCATGTTTAAAGGACCTGGATATCCACAGAACCAAATTCTCCCTGTAGTTTCTCTCCATGTGGTAGGATCAGAAAAGGTAGGCTGTCTCTGATTCTCTTCTCTTAGGCATTATACAGCTTTTTCAATTTTAATCACCTCGTCTTTGGAACAGCATACTTCCAAGAAAGACAAACTCCTATTAACATATGGCTTTTTAAGAGAGCTCTGCAGTTGAACTATTATATGTAGCTTTTTGTTTGTTTGTTTGTATGTTTGCTTGATGCTTAATTTTCTTCAGTGCTGAAGGTTTTATAATTGCATACTGTTTATTCTGATGTTTAGAGGGGAATGGAAGTTGCTCAGAGTCCTTTTATTTTCAGGGCTGTCAAACTCCTAGCCCGCGGGCCAGATGCGTCACGCGCTGGCCATGCCCATGCCCGGTTTAGCAAAGGGGAAAAAACTCCCAGCCCATGGGCCAGATACATCACGTGACAATGCTGTGACAACGTGAGTTTGACACCCCTATTCTATGGTAAAGGAGAATAATAAAGTATTTGGGAATTGCTATCCAAGTCATATGGTATGAAGCGACTCATTCATTTTAGTTTGTGTAAATAGTTTTATCTTCCTAGGTTAATTCTACCGTGTTTCTCATATAATAAGGCTGGGTCTTATTTATTTATTTTTTTAGCCCCGAAAAAATGGCTAGGCTGTCTTTTCGGGGGTGACTTAATTCCCCCCCCCTTGCATCTTTGGGCGGGCGGGCAGCGACGGCTTGGATGTTGACCTTGGCGTTGGTGGGGCACTTTGTATCGGGGTCAACGCAGGCAGCACCATATCCGGGTGTGCAACAAAAGTACTTCCTAATGGCAAGCCCCCCACCATTTCCCCCCCATTTCGCATGTTTTAATATAGGTCTTAATTTGGGGGGAAGAGCTTAATTTCATTTCATGCCTATAAAACATGCTGGGACTTCCTATTGGGGGAGGCCGTATTGTTGGAGAAACAGGGTAGATTAATAGCTAATGTAATATGCAGCTACTTATTAGCCTCAGGAACGCTGAATAGGGTTTTTTTTTAAAAAAGAAAAATGGCCCATCCCAAGAAAACTCTGGAATGGTTCAAATGATTGTCGTTCACATTTGGGAGAGTTTGGGTTTTAAAATATGTGGCTAATTCAGCCCTTTTTTCAATACAGTTTTGTTGCCTGCCTCTAGGACTCATTTAGTATCTTGCAAAGCCCTGAATCTCTGCCCCATGTCTAAATGTAATGATACCATTACTTATTTGCAACTTGAGTCATGATTTGCTCCTTTTGCTAGTTTAGCCAGTAAAAGTATATTCTGACAGTATACCATGATATCTTCTATATATTAGCGATTACAAGTCGTCGTATTGTTTAAGAAGGGTTTGTTTCAACTTCCAATTTTTAAGAATTCTGTGAGAGCCTAAAAGGGAATTCTGCAGCCAGGATCCTGCAGAAAAATGCCTTTCCTTTCCCAGTTCTTAACTGACATGCAGCTACTAAATAGCAGCATTGAGAATTCAATGGGAGACAATCTTATTCTCCCAGGATAATATTTTATTTGTTCCACTCAAAGTGGCTATGCTTCAACGAAAAAGGTTCCAAAGGGAGACTTCGGTGCAAAACAGCTAAATCAGAATTTATTTGCATATGTAATTGGATGGTGTTCTAACACAGATGAAATGGGAATTATCTTTCCTGCTATGGAAAATGGCTGTTCTCTTTTTGGTGTCAGATTAGCATGGTAAGAAAGGCAATATTATTGTTAATGATCGCTACATTTGCTTCTGCATACAGCTGTCACAGGTATGGAATTGTGTTTACAAGGTACCTCAGTACATATTTGTGTTTATGTGTCAGAGCAAGCAACATTAATACAATTTCAGGCATCTAGAACATTTACTTTTCTCACAGTTATTTGTTATTAGACTTTGTTTTGCTGAGTTCAAATGGGCTGCCTCCCTCAATTTCTCACAAACTAAATTAAACTGCAAAGCAATTTTTTTCTTGCATCCTTTGTTTTGTTTAGGGGCAAATTTGCACCCAGTAATCCCCATTTCCTTTATAATTCCTTTTAAATAATGTTACAAATTATTTAACTTTTCTCAGGGCTAGTAAGTATATTTTCTGAACACAGATTTTCCTATTTTCTTCTGTATATAACGGGTGTCAAACTCAAGGCCTGCAGGCCGGATCTGGCCTACGGGGCTGCCCTGGAAATAGCAAAGGCCCACGATGCCTCTGCCAGCAAAAATTGAGCTCAGGAGGGCTGCGTGTAGCCCTCCTGAGCTCAGTTTTCACTGTTAGAGGGTTGCAGGAGGCCATCCCAGCCGAAAACGGAGATTGGGAGCCTGTTTTTGCTGGCAGAGCACTTGAGCCACCACAGGCCACCCTGACATGAGTGATGTCACGCTGGCCACACCCACCCTGGCCATGCCACTCCCCCCCCCCCCCCCCCGAGGTCAAACACAACCCCAATGCAGCCCTCAGTGAAATTGAGTTTGACACCCCTGGTATATAATTATTCGTTTGTGTGGTATTTCAAAGAAAGCTATCCAAAGGTTTGAGATGGCGCTGTCAGTGCACATCTCTCATCCCCACTCCTGATAAAAGTTTTTCAGACTTTAAATTATCAGACTGTATGGACAAAATTTTTGACCTGGATAAATAAAACCTATTTTGCCTTTAACAAGCAAAAGAATGGCAACTAGACCTAAATATTCCACAGTTAGCTTAATTTCAGCTGTATCATCATCTGCCAAGCTGGGAATGATGATGTAGGAGGATTTTTCTACTAATTTCTTAAGAGATTCTGGCTCAGGTATAACTCTTGAAGCCAATCCAGTAAGGTCTGGCAGAGCTTAAATATGATTTAAAACAGGTGCAAGAAAAAAGTCTCACTATGAAGAATGAATGTCTGCCCATGACAGTTGTATAATTGTACAACTCAATCATAATAATCCTATTTTACAAAAGGAGATGATTGTAAAGGACTGTAAAAAGAAATTAAATGAATATTTTGATAGTAACCCAACTAAAGGGACAAATTTAATGACTGTTTGGGATGCTAGTAAAGCAATTAAGAGAGGCTATTTTATACAATACAATTCTCTAGAGAAGAAGAAATCCCAGGAAAAGATTCAAAAGATATTAGATGAAATTAGAAAGAAAGAAATTCACTTTCAAAAGACACCTATGGACTCTAAAAACGTACATCAGATTAAATTGTTGCACCAACAGTTGTCTGCTTTAACAGTTCAAGAAATAGAAACTAAATTGAATTATGTGAAACAAAGACATTTGAATTTGCAAACAAACCAGGAAGATGGCTGGCATATAAATGAAGAAAGGAAAGAGAAAAGAGAATGATTGAGAAAATCCATGAAGATGACAGTGTAATAAAGATAATGATTTTATTAAAAAGTCCTTTCACAAATTTTACTCTAATATGTACAAGAAACAGGAACTTGATATGCATAAAGTAGATGAATATCTGCAAAGACAACACTTATCTAAACTTTCACAAGCTCGGAGATAGCTTATGAATGTAGTAATTACTTTTGAAATATCAGAAACTATTTAAAAAATGAAACCAGGTAAAGGTCCAGGTCCAGGTGGCCTTACAAGGCAATATTATAAATGTTTTGAGGATCAACTTCTTCAGCCACTAAACCAAGGGTGTCAAACTCAAGGCCCGCGGGCGGTATCTGGCCCATAGGGTGCTTAAATCTGGCCCACGGGGCTGACCTGGAACCAGTGAAGGACTGGCCTGCAGTGCCTCTGCCAGTGAAAACGGAGCTCGGGAGCCTGTTTTTACCGTCAGAGCACTTGGGCCCCTACAGGCACCCCTGACACAAGTGATGAGCTGGTCATGTCCCCCTGACCACGCTTCCCCCAGCCCCCCTGAGATCAAACACAACTCTGATGCAGCCCTCTATGAAATTGGGTTTGACATCCCTGCACTAAAGGATACAATAAATGGAGTATTACAGGGAGCAAAGAAGCTCATACTCCATTATTACCAAAGAAGGGGCAAGCTGTCAAGATAAAAACCATAGATTAATTTCATTATTAAATAATGAATATAAACTTCTTGCTGCAAGTTTGGCAGAAAGAAAGTAAGATGGGGAATAGTTTTGCAGCTGGTGTAGTTTTGGAAACTAGGTGCAAATATTGTAACCCACCTTGCTTCCTTGGGATTTTTGAACAAATATTCTTTCTTTTGCCAGCTCTCTTTTTGGGTTCCAGTTCCAGGCCCCCAGAAGGCCTCAAAGAAGGAAAAAAATGTCAGAAAGAGCAGAAATTGATAGCTGTGATAATGTGGCAGTGATAAAAAATTTATATACTGAAAAAAATTATTCATTCCATGCCAGTCTTAACTTTGGAGGAAGTTTT